AAAGCGGTTTATAAAATACGTTTGCTAACATGCAGACAGAGTTGAATCTTGGCAGTTTTAACCAAAGATCTCACTCAATCAATTAATGCTCCAAGTACAACTTGGGGATCACTCTCAGCTACTACCACGCCAAATGTTAGCGCAGTATCTGAAAATCTGATTGATTTATAGCCATTTTTGTGGGTGCTAAGATTTATTTTCTGTGGCGACATCTTGAGTGTGCTTACTTCCAAAAGTTGATAAGTTATAGATGAGTATTCATAAATTATTTGGAGGTATCATACAAAAACATTAAGTGTTACATGATATATTTTGCTAACAGACTAAGAAACGAGTACATACACGGCTGCTGCACTTTCGCTTTTGGCAGGCAACGATCATCAAGATGAGGTGAATTAAAGCGTACTTGTTTGCATCAACAACATTTGTCCGAACACGCTGCACGTTGGAATGGGTTGGAGTTTTGCGTCTGATGAAAGAGGACGGTGAATTCCAGAGCTGGTCTTGCACGACTTCACTCCTGCTGTACGGCAGCTTTGAAGACCCATTTGAAGATGATGGCTCACTCTCGTTAATCTAGAGCTCCTGGTCGTTTGCTGTAATTTTTAGCAGTGTTTTCCATCCTCGGCATGTCGCTAATGAAAAACCAGCCGATGCAAATTTACCCATGTTTAGAAATCAAAACATACAGCACACATCTGCTCCAGATGAAGAAAACCACTCATAAAGACACCCACAGTAAAAGAGTAACCAACATGCAGCCCTTTAATGCTACACCCAATCTGAGCAGAAGTGCTTTCATGCAATTATAAAGAAAGTCAACCCTTTCACAGAAAGCTCTTTCATTTAGGCTTCACTACTGAAATATTCTAAAGCAGGAAATTCCCTTTTGAACTTTTGAACCTGAAAACCATCAAATTAGAGAGGAATGTGTTGGCTTTTATTCTTATCAGCTCCAAAATCAATGGTTGGTTTGCTTTTGGCAAGAGTGGAGCGAACTCCTCATGTTCCGGTTTGTAAACACTCGGTGAAATGTACAGAATGTGGCACGATAAGGCGGCTGTGGTTCACCGGTTAGGGCAGCTGTATGAGAGACGAGCGAGTCGGAGGTTTGATTCCACCGTGCAGTCACATGAAGGGACCCTGGGTAAAACACTGAACCCCTCATTACCCGTGATGTGTCCCATCGGGGTATGAATGTGATCTAAAGCCCTGATTAGACTCTACAGCAGGAGTGGGCTACATTGAGCAATCAAAGGTGAACAAAGTGACCTGAGAAACATCAAAGTTCATGCTCAATAATCCAGATTAAAAAATCCAACAACGTTCAGTCAGGTTCTCTGGACGGTTTCTTTTTTTGTTGTCGAGCCATTTCATCCTTCATCCAAAGGACTTCATCAGTCCAAGGAGCCACAAACAAACTGAGTCCCACAAGCAGCACACTCACATAGTGGGCCAACCAGTTTGCTGGTAATAAGATGGTTTCTGGGGCCCACCCTCTCCCCCGTTGACTCCTCCGAGGCAGCCATAGCCAAAGTGGTTCAGTGTTTGTAGCGTCTCAGATTGATGAAGTCTTTTGGGTGAAAGACGAAACATCGCAACAAAAAAGAAGTCGTCCAGTTTGTTGGATTTTTACCTGGATTATTGAGCATGAACTTTGATGTTTTGAACGACTTTGGCTATGGCTGCCTGAGAGGAGTCGACGGGGGAGAGGGCGGCCCCAGAAACCATTTTATCACCAGCAAACTGGTTGGTCCACTATGGGAGTGTGCTGCTTATGGACATAGTTTGTTTGTGGCTCCTTGGATTAATGAAATCCTTTGGATGAAACGTCTCAACAAAAAAGAAACAGACCAGATGACCTGACTGAACTTTGTTGAACAGAGAAAGAAAGTTTAATTTCAGACAGATAATCTAAAAAACATGTTCAGGATTTTCTTCCATTATCTATTAGATAAAGTTGTAGCACGACTCCCTGATATCTTCTGGAAGTACGAGACATACTTTCTGCAAAACCAGCTCTTGTGAGAAAATATTAGTTTGTTTAAAATATGCACAAAACTTTATATGTTGCTTTTTGGAGTCTTCAAGGTTCAATCCAGTTCAGAAAACACAAATAATGGCTTACTAGGCAAAAATAAAAGTCCTGGCCTATCTTTGTCCAAAAATTTTCAACGTATCCTTAAGTCTCATTGATAAAATTAATTCATCCATTTATTTTAAAGTTTTCTGATTTATTCGGATTAGCCCTGAGATGTAGTACAGTGCTGTATTCGAGTGTGTGGATGGGGAAGTGTGGGCACAGATTGTGTTGTGAAGGTCTTTCAGTTGCCTGGCTGGCTAGAAAGCTCTATAGTTCTAAATCCATTTAGCATTTATAAGATGGGAAAGTGCTTTGATGGAGTTTAGCAGCAGATGTTGCTGAATGAAACTGGTGAAGTGAAGGTAGAATCTGTCAACGGTTAAAAACTGAATGTTTGGGTGATGAACTCGTGGTGCATGCACTGGAGGCCTCCTTGTTACATCACAGCCAGCTGTTCTTGGACAGTCATTATGGGCTTTAAAAGAAAATATTTCTGCAAGTACTCATGCTGAAAATGGAGGGGGGCATTGTGTCACCTCCATTTGAGCTCTCTAATTACAAACACACACGAGCTAAGGCACGCTTTCAGAAACGAATCAAGTTTTAATGCATTTGTGTCGTAATTGAACGGCCATGTCCACCAACCAAAACAGAAGAAACAGCATCAATTAGAGGCCACGCACTTCATCATGACACCTCCACACGTGTTGACAGGTGCCTTTTTGCTTGTTATTCTAGCTGCACAGGATATTTTCAGGGTGTGTGATGTCACCAGTTTTGGATTTTGACTAAAAGTAATGAATCTGGTGGTAATGTCAGTATAATGGACTGAGATAATGACAGGTCTGGAACAGAGGAGTATCATCTGAGTATCATCATGGCTTCAGATCTTTTGAAGTGGGGTTCTGCAGAAAAGCTGTGAACAAATGTCCTACCTGTTGTAGACAGGTCTTTGAATGACCTCAGATTGTAGAAATGGCTTATTTATTGATGAGCTCATTGACTGATGAGCTAACAGCTCGTTTAAGTGGGGCCCAGATCAAAGAGGATTGCTGATGTTGTAAAACCCCCAGACAAAAATGTCTTAGTGGTTCATGTTAAAACTATTTTGTAAATCTTTAAATCACTTTAAGATTACACAGATACTTTCATGGGATTCTATAGTTTATTGCAAGTACAGAAAGTGGCAGCGGCAACTAGCTGTAGCACTTCTGGTGCACATCCAGCAGGACCATCTGAATATTTCTTCTGCAATAACTGTGTCACATGGAAAAAACAGAGGGGTAAAATAATATAAAATAGTGTTCAGATGCTGTAACAATTTTAGGATTAAATTAGATTTAATCTGGCAGCAATCCATCTTGGCCCCAATGGTCCAGTCAGAATTAAACTCCATTTCTTCTAGTTCAAAGAGCTATCTACAGCAGGTAAGATACTAATGTTCATAACATTTCCACTCGACTTTACAAGGTCGAAACTAAAATATATTTCAAAATCTCCTTTTGTTCAAAAAACAATAAGCTAATTATTTATTAGCCGGATGAAAAATACTTCTAACCAAGCTTAATTGAAAGTTGTCCCAAAGAATATTTCCCATACACAGAAACAACCCCTCTGAAAACCTGGAGCTGAGGTCTGTGCTCCGTGACTTCATCCAGCAGCAACACCTGGAGAAAATTTGTCTCTGTACCTAACAAATGAGAAGGAGAAAATGAATGGGAGGCAAAAAGAATGATGGGGAATAATTATGCTCTCTGTCTTTTAATAAACTTTCACACAAGTTCAAAGGGACGTGTTTAGATGCACAGCTGGCACAGATGCTTTATTATGAAGTTATGTGAAGAGGAGGGATTTCACCAAAACGCAGAAGTGCTGGATGTCATGTATTTAGGAATGAAAACATGATTTTTGTTTTTGTACAATGTGATTTCTGCTCTCATTTAAAGTTCTTATGTCAACAGCCCAAAGCTTTGAGGAATACCTTTTTTTAAACCGCGTGACTCTGGAGGTGGCATTTGATCCACTAAACTGTTTCACTCAAAAAGTAATGTTATAGGTTTGTTTTTCTTACTTCTGCTCAGCAATTAAGTTGTGTCTTTATGTCTGAAAGAAAAACCTCAAATCCAACTTGTTGTTTATTTCTGCTTCTTCTTTTCTTTGTTCTTTTATTGTTTCTTTGGCACCTAAAATGAGAGCAAGTGTCCCAGAAAACAAGTGAAGGCTCGCTTCTGTTTCAAATACCAGACATCAAATTTAAATTCTACGTCAAACCTTTTTATTTTTAAGAAGACGAATATCAAAGTTCATGCTCAATAATCCAGGTTAAAAAAAGTCCAATAAAGTTCAGTCAGGTCCTTTGGACGGTTTGTTTTATTTTTTTGTTGAAATGTTTCAGCCTTCATCCAAAGGACTTCATCAGTCTCAGTCTCAGCACCATCACATAATGGGCCAACCAGTTTGATGGTGATAAGATAGTGGACGAAAAAATGTCAACAGAAAAAGAAACCATCCAGAAGATCTGATTTAACTTTGTTTGAATTTATACCTGGATTATTGAGCATGAACTTTAATGTTTTGAACCACTTTGGCTATGGCTGCCTCAGAGTAGTCGACGGGGAAGGAGGTGGGCCCCAGAAACCATCTTATCACCATCAAGCTGGTTGGTCCACTATGTGATGGTGCTGCTTATGGGACTGAGTTTGTTGTGGCTCCTCGGACTGATGAAGTCCTTTGGATAAAGGACGAAATGTTGCAACAACAAAAAAGAAACCGTCCGTAGGACCTGACTGAACTTTACTGGATTAAGAAGATAAAGTTTAACAAGTTTAACATCCATGTTGTTGTTTTTTATTGTTCTGAAACACTGGCTGCAATGAGAAGGTGAAGTGCAGGTTTTAATGTTTCTGTTTGGTTCCAGTGTCTGTCAGGGAGCTGGTGAAGAGCTGCTGTGAGACCGGAGAGAAATGGGCTTCAGCTAATGGCCACTGCAGCGACATGGAGCCTCCCACAAAAGACCGGCACTCCATTTGCTGGTGAGCCCATTACGTATAGCGCTCGTGCTTGGAACCTAACAACAAAGTGGTTATCTTGAGAAATGAAACAGAACTGGTTTTCATGCTAGATTAATTACACTTCATCTTCAGAACTTTGATTAAACCTACCATTTGAATTTCACCTTTGGATTGTAGTCCTGCAGCAAACCTCAGGTGAAGATGCCGTTCCTCTTGCAGTCCGTTTCTAATGTGTGTGCCCGTCTCCATCAGGACTGCCCAACAACAGTGCTGCTTCGGTTCCCTGAAAGAAAGCCGGTGCTCGGCAGGAATTAATGCAGCCAGAGCAGGAAGTGTGTGTGAGGAGGACTCTGGCAGGGAATGTGGGATAGATTCCTACAAGGCAAGTATGATGACAACAAGAGCTTCACATATTCTGAACTTTAAACATGAGCAGGGTACATCTGATGGTTCAGTTTTCCAAAAAATAATAGAACAATTATTTACAGTCCAGCACAATGAAAGGCAGACATTTAAAAAGCTGCCTGTGGGTGTTGCTTTGACTGCCTGTTAGCAAAATATTTTATAAACCAGAGGAAGAATTTCAAATAAACTCTCAAAGGTATCACTGGTTGGTTGTCCATTCCAACTCAACCCAGTTCAAGATGGCAACCACAGACAACAAAAATTAGAAATTACACAAAACGGCTGTGATTCAATCAGTTTGACAGATTTTGAGCTAAAGTTTGGTGTAGTGGTAGCTGAGAGTCGTTTACAACATACAGGTATAACTCTACTCGGGGCTTAATTTGTAAACTGATCAATGCCGGAATGCAAATAGTGGGCGGGGTGGGGGGGGCGTGTTTTTCCCACAAAATTTTGAATAAAGTAGATGTGATATCCTGCATTTAGGTGTATTTTAACTGGTTAAACATCTACATTTAACTACATTTGTAAACACTACACTTCTGTCAAGCAGCTTACCCCCACTCATTACTGGACAGTTCCGAGCCCAATACTGTCCCTGCTCGTTGTTGTTCGACTCCACATGTGAAACGTCCAGGCGCCTGCCCGCGTACAACTGCCTGGTTAGTTCGGCACTCACCCCACCACTCTTTTAGGGGCGGAGATTTTTTAAGGGTAGCGGGGAAATGCCACTTGAAGAGGCAGCTCATATGCTCGTAAGTGGCTGTTGTGTTTAAAATGAGTGTTTATGTAATTATTTTCAGTTTACATTTCCAATATGAGTTTTGTTATTTCAAGGCAGTCATATTTGTTCATAACTTGGTTATTAGTAAGCCTGAGAGTTACCAAATCCAAGCAAACAGTTACCGGAACGCACCCTGTCAAAATTAAAAACTTCCCGGATCCTGTTCCGGAAAGATCTGGGTTAAATTAAGTATTGACGCTACTCATTAAATAAGATCTTTGCTTAAAATGACATTGTTTTCCATAGGAGTCAACCCTGTTTGTCTATTATCAAATATATAAAGATATTCATGAAAGCTTCACAAAGTAATATCTATAGATGTGGATGTACGTCTATGAAGTTCGTCAGAGTTGATCCACATTAACCAACAGAAAATGGCTAAAAGTCTTACAATTGAATAATTATCGAGCTAAAATTTGAAGTGGTAATGCCATACTTGCCGCCGTACACAACACACCACCGTATAAGTCGCATCAGTCCAAATATGTCTAATAAAGTGGAAAAAGACATAAATATGTCACTTAGCCATATAAGACGCATCTATTATGTGTCACCGCTGACCACCCGGAAACGTGAGCCTGTGTTGTGCTAAAAATCAATTGGCTACCAAATGATGGTTGCGGGAGCGTGCACGGGAGGACTTTAACAAGAATTTAATAAAATTACCACTTAAAAACAATTATTTGTTTGCTCAACATTGTAGTAAAGGTGTGTCTCAGTCTAAATGTTCCTTAATAAATGCACTTTAACGGTCAAATCATCTTCATTTCAAAAGCCGATTCACAGCTGCAGGAGCGTGCAGAGGGAGGACTTGCTGTGCATTTCTTCGAAATTTAACAAGATAAGCACCTAAAACAATTATTTGTTTGCTCAACTTTATAGTAAAGGTGTGTCTCAGTCTAACTTTTACTTAATAAATGCACTTTAATGGTCAAATCAGCTGCATTTCTCCTGGGCGGCGCAACGAAATGCAGCTGATTTGACGTTTGCTCCAGGAGTTCTGGAGCGAGATGAAGGTGGCTGCTATGGCAAGCCAAGTGTCTCATTAATAGCCACTTTTACCTATTAATGAGACACTTGGCTTGCCGCTTGCAATATTAGTTGAGGGCCCCCTATGTCTGACAATATGTTCAATATTTTCCATGTCAGAATGAATTAAATCCTCAGATCTCAGACAAAAATTGGTTTATAAATATGGGGGGGGGAACATAAATAAGTCGCTTCGCTGTATAAGTCGCAGGCCTGCTAATTTATGCAAAAAACTGCAACTTATACAGCGAAAACTACGGTAACTGAGAATCATTCACAACATTTTCCATAGAACATAATGTCATTTTCTAGGTTTATCAAAATGGCTACAACTGTCATTGCTTCACAAAAGATGTTTTTAGTCCAAAACTCTGGCATGAAGGAGGCCGGCCATGCATCTCTTTAAGGAAGGCTAGTTTCATTTACATATGTGTTAGAAATGTGAACTTTTACTACTTAACCCCTGATATAACACTATTTAAATATCCTTTGTTCAGTACACATTCCTTTAAATCCTTCGTATAGACACTGTGTCAGGTTCAGTACCTAACCATCAATTTCCTCATTTAACCATTTTTCATGTATTAAGAAAGAATGGTTGGTAATAATTGCCCTTTTGGTTTCGATTTCCAAAACCAAAACTCACATATATTTTTAACTTTTTAAGAATATCTCCACCAATTCATGTCAAAGATTTTCTTCAGACAATGACTGGAAGCACACACCTACACAAGCTGCATCGATGTAAATGACTCGTCATGACAACGACTGCACCTCTGCAAGCGATTAGTCTGCAGCGAGAAACTTTAGTCTGGATTTCCACAGAGGATTACTGTTGTGATGATTTTCTTTCACCACATCATTATTCTTTTTAATTTAGCACATATCGCTCTGGAGGATTTCTAGTCCTTCAAACTTCATTATCTTCAGAGCAGACCTCAGCAAATAGAAATGTCAAGTGTCAATTCATTTTCTAAACATAAACTGATAACTGATAAGTAAAACAACAGCGGTGGTCGATGAAATGTTATTATGGCTCCTGCTGATAGTCCAATTAGTACCGCCTGGATCATTTTTATGCATCCATCTGTTATATTTACTCGCTTGATCCTGTTTGGCAACGATGGGAGTAGGAGACCATCTCCAGAGGTCATAGGATGAGAGGTGGGGACCCTGGACAGTCGCTCACAGAGCCCAACCGTGCACTCACACTTGCACCCAAGTACAATTTCAAGTCTCCAGTCAATCTAATATGCACGTTTTTTGACCTGTGGATGAAAATATCTGGAGAAATCCCACATGTGCATGGTCACAGAAAGGTTTCAGACCTTTTTGCTGTGAGGTGGCAGCTTTAACCTTTTGTAGAGAAATGATTAAATCGTCCTGAAACATTTATTTAAAACAAATTAATCTTGTATGTATGATAATGTAAACTATTCTGAGAGTAATTAATGATTATAGGAACCTAAAATGTTATTACCATAAATGTAATACAAGATACATCCATCCATCCATCCATCCAGCCAGCCATCCATCCATCCATCCATCCATCCATCCATCCATCCATCCATCCATCCATCCATCCATCCATCCATCCATCCATCCATCCATCCATCCATCCATCCAGCCAGCCAGCCAGCCAGCCAGCCAGCCATCCAGCCAGCCAGCCATCCATCCATCCATCCGAAGTCGGATCCTGGGGGCAGCAGCTTGAGCAGGGAGGTCCAGACATCTCTTTACACAGCCACCTCTTCCAGCTCTTCTGGGGTGATTCCAAGACGTTCCCAGGACAATCGAGATATATATAGTCTCTCCAATGTGTCCTGGGTCTTCCCTGGAGTTTCCTCCCAGTTGGACATGCCTGAAGTACCTTTACCAGATGCCCGAACCACCTCAACTGGCTCCTCTCGACGTGGAGTAGCAGTGTTCTACTCCAAGTCTCTCCTGAATAACTAAACTTCTCACCCTATCTCTAAGGGAGAGTTTTGCCTTACAGCTCAGCTCCCTCTTCACCACAAAGGACCGGCACAGAATCTGCAATACTGCAGATGCTGCACCAATCTGTCTGTCAATCTCATGCTCCATTCTTCCCTCACTTGTGAACAAAACCCTGAGATACTTGAACTCTTCCACTTGAGGCAGAACCTCACCCTCGACCTGAAGAGAGCAATCCACTCTTTTCCGACTGAGGACCATGGCCTCAGATTTGGAGGTGCTGATTCTCATCCCAGCCGAAGACCAGGAACACACTTGGGTCAAACATACTTGGAGAACGCACAGAGAAATCATGCTGGTGAGCTAGTCCTACAGTGAGCACAGATAATCCGACAAGGACTGACAAAAACCAGGGCGTACTGCAGTCAGAAAGATTTCACCTGCAGTTTTTTACTGCTGTGATAAACCTTCAGTTCAAAAGGTGGTGCTTTTATACATTTGACCTCAAACTAATACAAACACGATTCAGAAGAGGCAATCACACTGGTCATCATATTAAAGCTAGCACTTAAAGAGCTGCAGTGGTTAAAGCAAGTCTTGTTTTCTGTAAAATGTTGTTTACTTTTTATGTAAAGTGATTTAAATAAAACGCCATCATCCAGCATTGTTTGTCTGACTTGCAGGAGTGCTGTGGCTGCTGCTCGCTTGGGCTGCAGTTCCTCAAAGCAGGCCATCGCTGTGAAGCCCACCAGCACATGGGTTTCCACTGCCGACACGTCTTTCTGAGCTGCTGTGAGGGGGAGGAGGGGAGGCACACCGTCAGAGAGAGGCCTGCTCTGGAATCCACTCCGCCTCCGAGAAAAGGTCTTCACCTAAATGATAACACACAAAAGAGAAGCTGATAAGGAGGGATGCAAGGCAGTAGGAAGTAGGGGTACAACGAGTGCTGCAGCACCTCCTGATGGATGCCAGAGGAAATGCACTCTCAAATACAGCAGTCTCTCGTTTATCGCGGGGATCTGTACCCTGAAGAACCGTGATAAGTGAAAAACTGCCAAGTAGGAATACTAGTACAAGTAGTAAGTAGTAGATTATTTTAGTACATATTTAGTATATATATATATATATATATATATATATA